AATGGAGAAATAAAATGATGGTCACTCACCCATTTGAACACTCAATACATGACTTCAATTGTTTGCAAGCAACATTCACTTCAAACGTACAATTTTTTTTTTTTTTTTTATGAATTTTAAAATTTATATTTAATACTCTCGAATAATTTCATTTTTTTTTATAAATAATTTAAATTTGTAGATGGAAAGTTTATGGTTATTACATGTTTTTAAATTTCTATTAATTTGGATTGATTTTTCCCAAATATATTTTTTATTTCCTTAAAAGAATTGGATTTTTCGTCTAAACTTATTTGGTAACTATTTAATACTTCTCTTAATTTTGATAAATAACCATTTAATCAAATATTATTTAAGATTTAATAAAATTTCTTATTATAAAGATTAATTTTGATGAGATTTTCTCACCATAGAAATTAAATTATAAACTAAATTGTTACTTATTATGATTTAAAAATTGGATCATCGAGTATTTTTCAATTTATAATTCAATATATTGTTAGATTTTGAGTGAAAATTATCCATAGAGATTATGAGAGTTAATCAACCTTGTCTCGTTATTGAATATTTTATGGAGTGAACCATTTTACACAGGTTTGATTTTCCTAAAACATGAACAGATCATGAAATCCCTAAAATTCGGGGAACTCCACGGAAGAATTACAGTTTCCATCTGGGAAAACAGGGCAGTCGATGAAGTTGGAGGCTGAAGAATCGACGCAGAAGTAAACCTCATACAATTGGCTGTTGCCGGACTCATCCGTGTTGCAGGTGATTCCAGGGCTCAGCTTAACTCCATCTTCAATGGCACTCTTGATCTTACTCAAACTGTAGCTACTTCCATCTGGGTTTATTCCTGCGGTTTGAAGAGCTTTGAGTATGTCGGCTTGGGTTTTAAGATTGAGAGCGGCCTCGAAATATGCATGTTGGTCCACAACGGATTCGGCGCAGGTCCCGTGTTTGTTCCACTCATGCGCCCAGAATTTGGTGCTGTCGCTGCTTGGACAAGCGAGTGATGGCCAGTCGCGCTGCATGCTGTCCTCCAAATCTGACACCTAAATCACATCTCCACAATATAATGAAACAAAAACAATTATGGAACCAGAGAAAATGGAGGTATGGGATGTTAAATACCTGGGATGGATCGAAGGTGTTGGATGAGTCACAATTAGAGGGGTAAGTGCCATCGTTGTAATTGGGCCAAAGGCCGTGGATTTTGAAGTCAGGGGAGGGTTTTCCAGCCTGGGGATAGCAGCAACTTCGGCGAGTGTCGCAGTAAGAGCCAGGCCACTGCAGGAAACATAGAAAGAAAGGGGTTAAAAATTGAAACTTGGGTAATGGGTAGGGTGTTATAGTTGAATATACTTACACTTTGAACGAAGTAGAAGAAATCAAAGTCCTTGGCGGCGAGACAGAGGAGGGAAAGGCATTGGAAAATGGCGAGATTTATGAGAAGGAAGCGGGTGAAGAAAGACATGGGGATTTGGGTTGGGGTGAAGAAAGTGGTGAAGTCAGTAGTGTTTGAATTTGGAATGGGAGTTGTGATGATTTGATTGGTGATTTTATAGAGACGTATTAGGAAGGCAGAGGCGATGGATGCGATTATGGAAGAATATCCGCTGGACAGGAAGTTGATGACGTCTGTTTGGGCGCCAGTTAAGCAGCTATAATCATTTTCTCCATGTCGGTGAATGTTTTGTTTTGTTCCGTTCTATTTTTGTGGGTCTATATTTAAATGTGATGACTTTGGATCCATGGATCTGCCTCCCTTGCATTGACCTTCTTTGTCATCCTAACGCACATATACTTCTAATATTGGGTCGAATTCAATTTTTTTTTTTTTTAAATAGAAAATTTAGTTTGATTTGCAATGCATATTTTTAATCAAAAAAATAAAGTTGTTTGGAGTCTAGCTGCCATAGATCAAAACTTTTTAACCTAAATATTAGTGATGCTGAAGATGATGAATTTGACAGATTTTGTGTTGTAGTGGAGGCACTAGGAGATGCACTGGAGTTGACACTTGTCTCTTCATCGGCAGAAACTAACTTTTATATCATTATCTAATAGTTTTATCTTAGCATGGTTTCGACCTTCACTATGCCTTTCTCCTCAACTTGCTCTTTTGTATTTCCAAGTTGCACCTTAATTATTTGGGTATCATCAAGCTCTTGAAATAAAGATTTGATGTCTGTCATATGGTTCGAGCATCCGCTATCAACAAACCATAAGTCACCTTCTTTTAGATTAATATCAATATATGTCATAAAAAGCTTTTCTTCTTTTCATTTTCTCCTGCAAAATTCATTTGTTGATCTTTATACCAACAATCAGCTTTTATATGACCATACCTGCAATGGTAACATACCATTGCAAGACCTTCCTTATATTACTTTATTTATTGAACTGTCTTTGTCCATCATTTCTCTATCTATCTCAGTAATCACGACCACCATGGAAGCTGCGAAATCCTCCTCTTCCATGACTTCTACCTGCTAAATGAATATTTTCTCCGTTGCCTTTGTTGTTGGCTGTCTCCTTCACTTCTAGTGTCTTTTCTTCGTTCCTATATGATGATCTATTGATTCTTGACTCATGAGCTTGAAGTGAGCCCATCAGTTTATCAACAGAGAGTATGGATAGATCTTTAACTTCTTCTATGACAGCCACCGCATGGTCAAACTTTGGAGGTAAGCTTCTCAACACCTTTGCAACAATTGTTTCGTCTGAAATTTTCTCTCCATAGGAATGCATCTGACTGACTATGGCCATTGCTCTTGACAAAAAGTCAGCAATTGATTCGTCATTCGTCATGAGCAGAGTTTCAAAATCACGTCTTAGAAATTGCAATTTCACTGTTATGACCTTTGAATCTTCCTGAAACTCGTTCTGTAGCTTTGAATCTTCTTGAAACTCGTTCTGTAGAATTGACCATGCTTGCTTTGATGTGGTTGCTGTTGCAATTCGTGAAAAAATAGTCTCATGAACTGCTTGCTGAATAATGAACAGAGCCTTGGCATCGTTTTTCTTGATTTCTCTTAGTCTCTCCTTTTCTTCTATTGTGGGTTCTAATAGATCAACAAACCCGTGCTCCACCAAGTCCCATACCTCCTGCGATCTGAGCAAGGTCTTCATCTTGATGCTCCACCACTCATATTTCTCACCATTAAAGATCGGTAACAGCGGTGCAAAGGAAGAAAAACCAGCTACTGCCATTCCTGTTTTATGAAAAAAATAATCACTCACCCTCGCGTTGACAGGAACTTGACTTTGATACCAAATTTGTTGGAAAAAAGATATTAAAAGAGATAGGGATAGATCAAAGATACCTACTTTATTATTGTTTTCTGACTCGATGCTTCAAGAGTTACATAATTCCAATATTTATAGACTTATACACTAACCAGAAAATAGTAAATTATGGAAATCTTAATAAATTCAAATATACTAACAATCTCCTAAAATTTTGGTAATTTGAATATTTTGAATCATATCTCAACCACATTAAATCATATCTCAATTTTAATCCTATCTCAATAGACTTATTTTTTTTTTTATTTTGTTTTATGATTGGCCACTCATCTTAAAATCTAATATCATTGGCTAAACAAATGTTAAAGAGGAGGAAAACCATTTATGTAACTGAGTTTTATCGTTCAAACAATTCAAGAGTAGTGGACAATCCTTGAGGTTTGAAAAGAACATCTCTTTGGTTGAAACCGGCCGACAGCATCAAGTGCACTAAATCAAAACACGAGAAGCCAAGACACTACCAAAAGAAACATAGGCCGCCATTGATCCCAACTTCTTGACCCAAACGTGGTTGGTAATATTATGAGGGCAGTAAGCAGCACAAACATCTGCTTTGCTTCAAATTTTAGACTCCCAAATTTGATACCAGTTGCGTAGAAGGTGGTGCCTTCAAGCGGCACCTGTGAGAGTGACCTGGTTTTGGCTCTCCATTATCCTGTCTCTAGGAACTGCCTTCTAGCTGCCGTTATTATTGTGCAAAAGTTGCAAGTAAAACTTTGAAACAAATATGAAAAGCCAGAGCTGCATAAAAAAGAATGTTACCCCTTCTTTGTATCAGCTTTATGTGAGCCTGTAAGAATATTAAAGATCACTTTTTTCCCTCAGCCATAATCCACCGATATTGTCACCCATTCACTTCAAAAGTTTGGTGTTCTTTTGTTCAGTGCTGTATTGGAATTGGTGAAGCTGATCGTGTGCTAGTATGTACTAGTTCAAGTTCATCACTAGTAAATATTGTCTGTTTTGACACATTTTGTATTGTTGTCAGCCTCACGGTTTTAAAATGTGTCTACTGAGAAGAAGTTATCGTACTTTTATAAGGAATACTTCGTTTTCCTCTCTAACCGATGTGAGATCTTACAATCCATCTCTCTTGGGTTGCTGGCACACTGTTTAATGTCTAACCCTGATATCATTTGTAACGACCCAAGCCCACCTCTAGCAAATATTGTCCGTTTTGGCCAATTACATATTGTTGTTAGTCTCATGGTTTTAAAACGTTCACTATGTAATTGCTCAGTCATAAACATTTTTCTAGAAAACGCGTTTTAAAAATTGCAAGGAGAAGCTCGAAAACGAAATTCTAAATAAGACAAATATCTGTTAGCAGTGGGCAAGAACGTTGGGCCTCTAACGGGGTGGGTTGTGAGATCTCACATCGGTTGAAGAAGAAAACGAACCTTCATTATAAATAAGGGTGTGAAAACCTCTCCTAATAGATGCGTTTTAAAAACCTTGAAGAAAAGTCCAAAGAAAACAATATCTGTTAGCCATGATCAACTATGCTCAAAGAGAACAATATTGTTAGCCGTTGATTGTATATACACATGATTAAATCATGATTGGTTCTTGCTAAATATAAAATAAATCAACAAATTACATCATATCTTGCAGGAGAGAAATCATTTAGGTCCGGTTTAGATTGGTGGAGGATTTAATTCAACACATTATTTTGTACGTTTATTAATTTGTGACCTGAAAGTTAAAATCTTTCATAAACGCTTTACAATTTCCTTAATAGAAGAACATGTTCCTAAGATACCAACAGAAAACCCCATCACTAAAATTCCCACAATCACCACCAACTCCCATCCAAATTTACGTGCAGATTTGTTGATCTTGAGGTAGCATAAACATGGGATGAGAATGCCATTGGTTACGCTTAAGAATGCGCCTGTAAAAGCCATAACATACGCAAAAAAGGGAATGGACAAAGCCAGAATGAGGGTGGTGAAGAGAAGCAGAGTTCTCATGAGGATGGCCATGCTCCGAGTGGCGAACAAACGAGATGCCTCTTCTATGGCAATAGCAATTGGGTTTATGATGGCTGCATATTTGGTGATGGGGTTGATGAGGGTCGTGTAAATGGCTACTTTTGTGCTGGTTTTGTCCGTTGGAAGATTTAAAGTCACTTGTGACTTTATATTGTCCCCATACATTAGGTACCCCAATATAGCCATCGAACCATAACTCATCGTGCTTGTCACAAAGCAAACCATTAGAACCTGCAATCAAAAACTACATTATCATTCTATTTCATTGAATCGATCTAATTTACACTTCGAATTTGAAAAATCTTTACCATAAACTTTGCATGAACACTGAAATTTATTTAGAATTCTACATATTTGTATTTGTGTGGGTGTGTTTAGGATACTGACGTCGTACACTAATTAAGGGGTTAATCATGGGTTTATAAGTAACGAATCCATCTCAATTAGTACAGAGGCTTTTTGAGGAAACTAAAAGAACTCATACTCGAAATAAGCAATATCATACTATTATGGAGGGTCAGTGTAACGACCCAAATCCACCACTAGTAGATATTGTTCTCTTTGGGCTTTCCCTTTCGAGATTCCCCTCAAGGCTTTCAAAAGTGTATGCTAGGAGAAGGTTTCCACACTCTTATAAATGGTGGTTTGTTCTCCTCCCCGACCAATGTGGGATATCACACAGAGTCATACCCTTAATATAGTCATGTCAATAGAATCCTCAAGTGTCGAACAAATGGTGTATTTTTTCGAGAGCTTCGGAAAAGGAGTTGAGCCTCGATTAAAAGGAGGTTGTTTGAGGGTTCCACAGGCCTCGGGAGATACTCTATGGTGTACTTTGTTTGAGCTACCTCGGCTAATTAAGGGGTTGATCATGGGTTTAAGGCCGGGGAATCAAAAGTAAAGCTACGAGAGCTTATGCTCAAAGTAAACAATATCATACTATTATGGAGGATCGTGATTTCTAACAGTGTGGAGAGTCGTGGTTCCTAACCGTAATGTTAATGAATATTATAGTATAAAGGCTATGATTTTACCTTTGGAAATTGGGTTTTATTGTTCATGGAGTTGCTAAGCATTGGAAAAACAGCATGTCCACAATAACAAAACAGAAACAAGCTTAGAGTGGTGGGCAATCCTTGTAGTTTCAAAAGCTCATTTCTTTGGTTAAATCCAACACCATCAACAGCACCAACCCAAGCAACACACAAAACCAAAACAACAGAAGCCAAAACCCCACCAAAAGAAACATAAGCTAGCAATCCCAAACTCTTGAGCCATGTGGTTGGCAGTATGAAAACAGCAGCCAACACCATGTACATCTGCTTCCCTTCCACACTCACACTCCCAACTTTGAAACCCGAGCTTGGAAAAAGCTTCTGTAGATTATCACCTTCTAATATCAAGAACTCAACAGCCACCAAATACAACTCCATGTAAACAAAAACGGACACCATTATTTTTCCTTTGAATCCAAAAGCCAACCACCCAATGTCAGGGTAAGTCCTCACACTTGGATTTGCGTCCATACAACGCTTTAAAAGTAGACCCGTATACCAACAAACAGCTGCCACCAAGGAGAGAAGGATCAAGCTAAGCCACCCTCCTTGAGAAAGCGCAAAGGGAATTGATAATATCCCCACACCTACAAAATTTCAAAAGTAACAACAACATTTCTTCTTTTATAATCAAAATTCATCAATACCCAATATTAGATAGAGATTTAATTAGACAAAAACCTGATAATGCATTGATTCCATTGATGCAAGTTCTTAGGAAGGTGGTGCCTTTAAGCTGAAGCTGTGTGGATGGAAGCTGGCTTTGGGTCTCCATAACTTGTGTAGTAGAACTCTTAAATATATATAAGGGAGCTCACCTCTTTAGATGTTGGCCTACTTTGATATGAATGTCTGCATATCCCTAATAATTCTAATGTTTAAATTGTGATTCAATTCTAAAAATTGTAAAGTTGATTAAAGGTGATTATTATTTATTTGTTTGGTTTGAGGCATTAGTGGAAAAGGCACCGACGGCATGCCCATTACTTCATTTTATGGGTTATTTTATTTTGTTGAGAGGTTTTGTGAAACCATATTGGATAATGATGTGTTCTTGCTAAAAATAAAGTATGATCAAAGAAAGTGGTGGAAATGGGGTTCGGTGGTAAAATGAAAGATGCCTCTTTTCTAGGATTGATATCATAAGAGAGGTTCTTTTGAGTGCCTAATTGTTAGTTACCGCTGAAAAATGAGCTTAGGAGGTTGCAACTCATACTCAATTCACTCGACTTACAATGGTTGAGAGAATGAAACATCCCTTATAAGGATATGGAAACGCGTAATGGAGAGTCCATAAAGAAAAGCCCAACAAGTATAAATCTCAAAGACGCGTTTTAAAGTCTGGAAGGAAACTTGAAAGAAAAAGCCTAAAGATGACAATATTTGTGGATAATACAAAATATAATGTAGTTGTTGAATTTACTTCAACAAGTATAAGTTTGTAACAATCCAAGCTCACCGTTAACAGATATTGTTCTCTCTTAAGTTTCACTTTCAAGTTTTCCCTCGTGTCTGTTAGGGAGAGAGGTTTCCACACCCTTATAATGAATGTTTTGTTCTCGTCTCCAAATCTAAGATCTTAGAAAATTTTATATCATTTTCATGTTGAATTGGTAAGTCTTCTAAATTTTTATATGGTTTTTATGTTGAATTAGTAAGTCTTCGAAAAAGAGTTCTAACATTGGGAAGAAAAAGATGTAATGGTTAGATAGTGAAATAAAGGGATGGAAACATGACCCATCATATCAGATATGTATGTAATGGTGCCATAGAAATGAAAAAGCTTTAATAATTATCACTCAGCAATTATTTATATGATTGATGACGATATAAAGCAAGTTGTCTACCTTTTTATGTCTCGATCCAATAATAAATGACAATGAATGGATAATGTAATGTGAATGTTGTCTTTGTTTTTTTTGGTCGAAGATAATAGTATGATATTATCTATTCTAAATATAACTTTTGGTTATTATTTTTTTTTGTTGGGACTTCAAAACGTCACGTATATTTTCTCTCACTTATCATTATAATTTTTTTTAGTTAGTCAAGGATTATTTAAATATTTTTTTTTATATTATAAAAATTTATTATTATATATTATTATATAAATAATAAATAATTGAACAGACTTTTCAAGTACTTAAATATTATTTAATGGATGAAAACGGGGTATTTTGAATTCCTATCCATGCAATAACATCGTTTTGCAAATTGATAAAATCCGGCGGGCGAATTTTTCATCTCCAAGGGCTTGCTTCTATTGGACCTGGGGTTGGTCAAGGTACTGCGTTCCGACCTAGGATAATAAGCACATGAGCTTAGTCTTACTTCACCGTCGAGGAGCCCCCCGTCTTTTGTTCCGTTCTCAAGTCCCTGGAACTATTGGTTCTAAGCCATGTCTGGTGATGAATTAGAACTTAAATTTTGTTCGAACAAAAAATAAATAAATATTTTATGTAAATATTTAGCTGGCTCCTGCTGGGCAGGCAAACGCCGGGCCAGATGGACTGGACGAAAGGAATAACCCGGACCCGGTTGTTTGGGCGCCAATAAATGTGGAAATGACCAAATTGTCCTTTGAGGTAGTTGATGATAATTGATTAACGAACGTTTGGACAGTTTTATGAATCCCGTTATTAGATTCTTGTATTACATTATATAACTTCGATTTGTTGTGTTCGTCGACGATGGCTAATTACCGATTTTGACGCTCAATCCAAAGGAAACCACCCCGATTTCATTGCATAACCACAGGTATATTCTTGGATTTTTCCCCATTTTCATCGAGCCAAGTTCCATTCGATTAAATCCCTCATTTCTCTTCCTCTTCTCTTCAACTCTGCTCCGGAACCCCTCCGGTCGGCTGCCTTCTCAGCGCGATCACTGGGGATTCTGGCTTTCTGGTTGTTTTTTTTCTTCCGAATATTACTAGTACGCCCCTGTTTTCTTCTGAGGGTATTTTTCTGTTCTTTTCTTTTCTTCTGAATTCGTGTAGTGTATAATTATTTGGAACTGTGAGCCAATGAGGTTTGTTTTTGGTTACTTAGGTGTTTAATTTCTGGTTGCGTAGCTATGAGCGATCATCTCGTTCTGTATGTGGACCGATTAATTCGTCCGGTACCCGTTGATTCGGTGCCCAACCCGACTGAGATTGTTCCTTTCTTGCCGGTCGGTGGGGATCTGGAGGGCGACTCGCTCGGCTTTCCTTGTTCGACGTCCACTTCCAATGTTGATGAGAAGAGAATAGAGAGTGAGGATTTGGATGGAGAGGATGATTCATTGATTCAGACAGCGGAGTGTCGCATTTGTCAGGATGACGATATAATTAGGAAGCTGGAAACTCCATGTGCTTGTAGTGGCAGTCTTAAGGTATAAAGATTGCTTCCCTTTTTAGTAGAACTTTATAGAACCTCCGTTTCCTGGGTATATTTGTGCCCCACTGCTAAATGTTTCGGCAAATCGCAAATGGTTTATTACCTATGGAATTACATAGTGATCAATTAGTAATTTGAAGTATAAACATATAGGGGATATCCAGCTTGTTTTTGTAGTTCAAATCGCGGTACTTTGCCATTGTGGTTGGCTAAATAAGTTGGTGATGATGTGAAAATTAGAAACCATTTGTCTATGAAATGTATTTGCTAAAGTGAATGCCATAAATATGAGAAAGTTTGATATGGTAAAAAGGCCGTTTACATTTCTCTTGTTTTGGTTATCTCAAATGTAGCTAAGGAGACATTTATTGCTTGTGTAGCTTTACGAGTTAGATGAGATGTTAACAACTTTTACTTTCTCAGTATGCTCACCGGAAGTGTATACAGCTTTGGTGCAATGAGAAAGGGGATATCATTTGTGAGATTTGTCATCAGGTATGTTCACATTATTGATTTTGCTTGGTTATATCAAGTTTCTGGAACCATATATGCGTTGACATCAAAGTTACGCCAGAAGAGATGTTGTTGCACCTCCTTTTGGGATAAACACAGGGTTCTTTGGCAAAATTCTTGCTTTGTTCTTGTGTAGAGTGTTTGGCTCGAAAGAAATAGTATTAGTAGAGTCAATTGGCCTTTAGATGAGTTGTCCGATCTGTTGGAAGCTAAATCTTCTAAAAAATTAGAGCTATACCATAGAGCCTAAACAATGTCCCTTCCACAGTCGAAACAAATCACAGCTACATAATAATAACGAAGTAAGAAAAGGTAAGAAAACAAACATCATAGTATATACGTTCAGTCTCCTATAGTTGCAGGTTCTACTATGCTGTTGAAGATTACAATGAATCCTCTCTCGTGATACAAATCTCTTGGGAAGTCACAACAATGGCTACTCTAACTTCTGAGCACCACAACAATGACTACTTAGGATTACAATCAATAACCCTCGTTCAACCCACAAAGAACTGGTTGCCGTCAAAGCTCTACAGCCTGCTACTTACAATTGCCACACATCGCTCTAGTTTTTCAACACAAAAAAACACCCCTAGAAAATGTGATGCTTTTACAAAAGTTGTCGCAGCGTCTTGTAGTGTTCATTAGCTTTCAGTGCGCGTCTTCAGTGTGGAGTGGATTTGCAGTGGCTTTAAAACGTTATAGTCAGTGTCTCAACGCTACAACTTTGTAGTGTTCTAATTCTTTCATCTTTTCAACATCACTATTCTGTCTTTGGACATGAACACTATTCCGTTCTCAGCAGAAATCCTCCTTAGAGATTGAACGTTAGTTTATCTTATGGAATGGTCCCCTTATGTTTTCTCATATGAACCTCTTGTCTTCACGGGTCCTCTAGCCCTGAAAGTATGATCTGGCTCTACGATCCCAACACAATAGTGATAGAGTTAATGCCTCATCGGGGCTTCTACTTCTCTAACTTTTTGTAATAATCAGCTTGGTTTGATTCTTTTTTTCTGTTGTCCCTCTCTTTGAATGGACTCTGTTTGTTTGGCCGTTGTTTCTGCATAGCTCTTATATATTCTTTCATATTTCTCCATGAAAGTTTGATCTCTTACGAATATATTTTATATGCACGCGCACGCATTTGATATGCATGTGAACACATATTACTCTTTCAATATTTTGCAGATGAGCCATGACACTAGCCGTGAAGTATCTTGGCTTGTAGAAGCTGAAAGAAAAGCATTTGTAATGATATTTTCATTGAAAAATGAAGCCAAGAAACGATACAGTTCAACTATTGAAAGATTAAATAATTAAAACGATGAATGTAGACCCATATATATGCTAACAATTCAGCTACTTTGAATGTTATGGTTCTAGAGGTTTCAGCTTATCTGATTTTCTACTCTTGCATATGATATACAGCCTTACCAACCTGGATATACAGCTCCACCACCTCCCCCTCGCATTGAAGAAACGTCTATCGACATCGGGTAACTTACATGCTTCAAATTTCATTTGGAAAGTTGTTTCGAGATAGTATTTTGCATTTTTTTTGTTTTCTAGAAGGATTATGGTCAGTTTTCTGATTTTTACATCTAAGATACTAAGCTAAACGTGTCCTATTCTTTGTTTGCATTCTTTTTTCTGCAGGGGAGGGTGGACCATCACTGGCACCCCTTTGAATTTACATGATCCTCGCCTTTTGGCTATTGCAGAGGCTGAACATAATTTATTGGAAGCCGAGTATGATGAATATGCTGCTTCAGATGCCAGTGGCGCTGCATTTTGTCGAGCAGCTGCTTTTATTGTAAGTTTCTTGTTTGATACCACAAATAAGAAATCTCGGTAGTATAATCAAGAAACTTACTATTATCATACAATTTTCACAGAGTGATGTCAATATGGATACACCAGTGCGCTAATACCTCACAATTGAACGTGTTTTCATGCTTCTCTTCGAATAACTCTCTTACAAAATTGGCATTGCAATTTCATGTACTCATAGAAAATGTATCAAGTAAAGAACCTGTTTGCTGAGGTTTTTCCATTCAATTGGGATAACATCGTTTGCCTGATTTCAATATGGCAGCTCATGATCCTACTTTTCTTGCGTCATGCACTTGAAGTCACAGATCCTGATGGCGATGATTACTTGTCTGCTTTCTTCTCTGTAAGTCTTGAGTTCATTACTCTAATCTCCTCTAGTTTTCCTTTTTCACAGATTTCTGACATTGCTCATCTTTTGGATATTGTTTTTAACCGTACCCTTCAGATTTTCTTGCTTCGAGTGGCTGGGTTTCTCTTGCCCTGTTACATTATGGCTTGTGCAGTCAACATCTTGCAACGTCGACAACGAAGACAGGTGGATATTACCTCCCTACATTATTGCTATCTAATGATTCAAGGATAAACTTTTGTAGTAAATGTTTCTTTTTCCTTCATGTTTTGCCTACTCCAAGGAACGGGAGGCTGCAGCCTTGGGTGCAGCACAAGTTGCCTTTGTGCTACAAGGACGACACAGAGGTCTGCAATTTGCGATAGCATCAGGACCTCAAATGACTTCCCGCCAGGACACTGCGTGACTTACATAGGCACAAAATGTATAACCTCTTCAATTTTCCAATGGTTAGATCTTCCTTACAATCTGTCTATATTTGTAATCTGAATTATTCATTTTGGAAAACCCGAGTGTAATTCTTCACAAGAATGCTCTTGCTTTTCATGATTTGCAATCTCGTCCCGAGTAATGAAGCATCGAAACACTTAACCAAATTATCTTTAATTGGATGGTAGACATGAAACAAAACCTGCGTAGGGGTTTGTTTAAAGAACTCTGTTTCAAATTTTATACATGATAGAAAGAAGTATAAGTTTGGTTCGTCTTGTAAACATACACAAGTGATATGTGAGGGTCTGTTATCCTCATACAAATATAGAATGGAAAGAAGGATAATAAGAAAAATGAACAAACTTTGACGGGGATTTGTTCTATCGACTGCCATACCTGCTTTATGCATAAAATGATAGCCTGATAATTAAAGGAAAGTGGACATTTGGCCGATCAGTTTGGCTGTTGTTTATTTGAGCTTTGAGAAGTTGTGTGCTTAATTCGTTCATCTTGAACTGCATTGGATCCATAGTGTCACGGTTATGCTTGTCCAAGGCGTGTTACTTATGACTGCATATCTGATGTCCCAGTCATGTTTGTCCAGGACGTGTTGTCCGTGGAAGCATGCTTGTTCCAAACCCCCTTTTACATGTTTCTATCTCAGATAGACGTTAATCATTTCATGTTGTGTCAATACGGGAGTGTATGACCGTTCACCAAAATCATGTTTACACCCTCTAGACTTATCACAGTTATGTCCAGCACAAAGCCATGGAATTAAGATTAACCCCTCAACAATCTCAATTCAATTTCACTCCAATCCCAAAACCAAAATTCATGGTCGTCTCTTACAGAGACTGCCTCAAGAACCACGCCGCCACAGTCGGCGGCCACGCCCTCGACGGCTGCGGCGAGTTTATGCCCTCGATTACCTCCACGCCGCCACAGTCGGCGGCCACGCCCTCGACGGCTGCGGCGAGTTTATGCCCTCGATTACCTCCACGCCCACCGATCCCACCTCTCTAAATTGCGCCGCCTGTGGCTGCCACCGCAACTTCCACCGCCATTACCACCCATATCGTCTCCGCCCCCCCACATATTGGGGACATTGAGCACCGGAGCGCCACCCGAGGAAATTGGGATCGGAAAACGGGTGCTCAGAGTTTGGATGCGTAATAACAAATACATGGGAGGAAAAGCAGAGAAAAGCAAAGGTTCTGAGGATAATGAGTCAAAACAGAACACATAACATTATGTATCACCATCATCCATATCCGCCATTAATTATTCCTTCCTCATGCCATGTTCATGCGATGTGGAGGGATTAATGTTTTTTTAGATTTTTACAAATTATGTTTAAATTGATTGCTCCTCACAGCCTCTCTCTCTCTCTCTCTTCTCCTTCGGACTTGGGGGTGGCCAAGATTAAACCTTTTTGGGCATAGAATTGAGGCCAGAACACAACTTTGGCTCTTTCATACACAACATTTTGGGATGCTGCTTCCAATGCTCTTCTACGTATCCAACAACCACAATGGACTCTGCAATTGGCTTGACGAGCATGGAGACTTTTTATTTGAAATAAAAGTAAGGTTAAATTAATCCAAATATATTTTCAATTTTATCTAAAAATATCTCAAAACTTTTTAAATAATACATTTAAACTTTTAAAAAAAAAATTATGACTAATTTTGGATGGAAATCCTTCAATAACGTTTAAAAAATGTTCTTCAATTTAAAACATATCATGCCCTGATTTTTATTTAAAAAATGTGTCGTTAATATACTCTGATTTTTAAAAAATTATACCATTCTTAAAAATTACCTTTAAAATTTTTTAAGTAACCTAAAAACCTTAATCTTTACATAATAAAAATAAATTTACGGCCAGTTTACGCCTTATAAATTATCTTTAAACTTTAGAAAAAAAAAATAGGGACTTGAGTATTACTCGTAAAAGTTTATAGGTATTTTTGAAACGTGATAACAATTCAGCTCATATTATTAATGAAAAGGCTATTTTTTAACTTTTGGAAAATATTTAAAAGTTATTTTTTAAATCTTTCAAAAAAAAAATTAAATGCATTAATGATACTTTTAAAAGCATGGTGTTTTTGAAATATTTTTTAAAATTAAAAAGTATCTTTGAAATTATATGATATTTTTTAAATAAAGTCTTAACAAGTAATTATAAAGATATATTTTAATTTGTTTTTTTAAAATTAAAAAATTAAAAAGTATTTATGAGATAAAATGCATAGTTCAAGATTATTTTTATCAATTTAGCCTACAACAAAAACTTACACATAAATTTCAAATTATTTATATCAATTAAATTATAAATTAAAAAAAAATCAAATTTATCACTTATATGATATACTCCAAATTAAAAGTTTTCAAATTTTTAAATATTTTTAAGGTTGAATTTCCATAAATTTTATATTTGTCTTTCAAATTTAATTTTTATGGAAATTGATATAATAAAATAACAATTTTGATGCAAGAAAATAGTTAAATGAGATTCTAAAATTTAGATAATGATAATAGAAAGTAAGATTTATTGAAAGTTTATAGTGTAAAATAGAATAATGAAATGAATAGTAGCATACCCTAAAATAATATGTTAACTATTAACTCATAGTGGTGTGTGCATGTGATGGTGAGAAGACAATAAGGCTCTCATCAACTTGGTGTACCGCAGAAGCCTCAAGTTTTATAAACAAAAGCTTCCCATATTGATGCAAACACCTTTTACAAACACAACACAACTCAAAACTAAACCCTAATTCTACCCTAACTAACTACATTAATATAAGCTCCTAAACAATAATGATACTAATCAAAACCAGTTCTTGAATCCATCAGGTATAGCAATTAGTGGTGGTGGATACTTCACTAGGGCATGAAGAAGAAGAAGAATCCCATACAAAAGGACACCCAACACTGGATCTCATCATGGCCCCAAACTGGTCACCACCTGCTTGCATCTCATGTGAAAAGGGTTGTGGATAATTGTTTATGAACTGCTGATTTGCATGCAAATCTATGGTGTCTGCAATGGGCTTCATGCCAAAATCTCCAAGCACTGATGATGACATGTTTAGCAAAATGGAAGAGAGGTCCACTCTGGATTTGTCTTGCTCTGTGGCGTTGGGTGATGGCTCAGCCAAAATGGGGAGATGAGCGAATGTATTGGTTGTTTGAGTGTTGAATGGCTTACATGAAGCAACAAAGTCAAAAGGGTAAGCGTTGGAAATGGAAGATTGGGTTAGGGTTTCAAAGGAGGGCAAAGTGGGTTTTGTGGGGGAAAATGTGTCATTTTTGGTGAAAGCATTGTCAGATAAAGGTGGGATATTAGAAGATAGAGATAGAGCCCTTTGAGCTGTGGAGTTTGTTTTCTTGAATATCCTACATATTGCCCATGAATCCTGCACCCACCAAAAACATCGTTCAAAATAAGTAGAGTTCTTCCAATACGTTAAGAATGAGAAACAAAAGTAGGACGAAAAGTCCTTGAACAGGAGTACTTTTGTGACCACAAGGACTTTCAATCTCATTTTTGTTTCTCATTCTTAACATGATATCAAAGCGTCATTCTCAACATGGTATCAAAGCATTAATTTTAGTATTCTTAAATACCAAAATTTAACTTCAAAACTTCGGAAGTTTATTTAACACATTCTTAGTACACATGGTATCAGAACGAATCGAATTTGAACGTTGGTTTAGAAGGCTTACATTTGGGGGAATGGTTTTATCAACTAATCTCTTAGTTGGAGAAGGATGAGTGAGGGAAGGGAGACGAAACTCATGCATCATCCAGTCAGTTTTGACACCTTTAGCAGCTCTGCCTTTATAGAAAACAAGTGATTTCTTCAACCCAATGCACTTGGTTCCATCAGAGGAGTAAATGGGGCGGTCAGTTCCAGTGGCCTTCCAGAACCCAGCTCCAGTGACACGGTTGGGTCTAGCACTGTTCCTGTATTTTCTATCTCTAGGGCAGTAGAAATACCACTCTTTTTCTCCACTACCACCCAACTCTAAACTCAAAAAAGGACACCAAAAATGAGTTTCATCATATATATGAATGCCACCGCTCTTAAAACAACAAAAAAGGAACAAACTTTCTTACTTGGAAGATCCCATGGATCATATTTGTAAATGTCAATTTGCTTGATGAGTTCTATGAGAAGAGGCCTTTGTTGAACCTTTCTTTTGAGGTAAAACCCAACAAGCTCTTCGTCGGTTGGGTGAAAACGGAAGCCAGGCAGCATTAGCTCCTCGCCTTTTTCACCTTCATTGCGCTCCTCCATTAATGTATCAACAAAAAAGTTGTGACTTAGCTTTGTAACTAAGAAACAGAGGAGAGAGTGTGAAAGAAGAGATGGATTGAGAGGCAATATATGGTTCCTTTGAAGGTGGGAGGGCTTGGGTCCGAGGGATCAGCCGCTATTTGTGGTGGGTCTTAAAGAGGAGCCCTTCTTTCTAAACAAACAATTTAACAACGCCTACCAAGAAACCAAAACCCTTTTTAAGTTCATCATAATTTGAAAAAAGAAGCAATTTTTCAAGAACCCCACATCATAAAAATTGAAACTTTATTGGTTTTACACAAGTTTTTACATATAATTCGGTGAAATATTTCTTGGATTCGTTTGGGATTTTGAAGTAAGAAAGGTTGGGATTAAATAAATGAAATCAAGACATGGAAACATGGACCTAAAACCGACTCTCGATACTAATTTTATTGTATATGTGAATGAGGGGATTGATTATGAACCTTTTTAATATTATTTTATGAGTGAAGAGCTCCTCGGAGTCCCAAAATTCAGCTTCTATTCCATTCCCCACACCTTCTATTCCATTGTATTTGTCAGAATTTTAACTTTTCTAAATCCAAAAACTGAGAAATTTGTGGTTCTATCCAAGGCTAGAATCGGTATTTCACTTAATGGGTCAAGCTTTGACCCATTAATGATAATCACACCTCTCTTATAGGGCTTTGTGGTTTTTTTTTTTTTTTTTTTTTAAAAAAATGCTTAAAATGGGTTGTGGTTGTAAAATAATTGGAGAGATGTGAAATGATTAAAAAAAAAAAAAAAAACTCAACTTTAATTGAATTTTCTCTCAATATATTAATTTATCACTAGAAAAGATTCTCTTAGTGTTTTAAATTTTATTTGAGAATATAAAAGCACAAATAAATTATATTTAGGGGACGAAATGCTAATATTAGAATTTGATGAGGGCTTATTAGCAAAATGGTGTGTTGCTTTTAATCACTCAACTGAAACAAGGCGTTTAAAATATTAACCAGTAAGTTTGATTTAGAAGCAATATAAATATATATCAAAAACATCATATATTATAACTTAGACCAAGAAATTAGAGATTTAAATCTTCACATATATATTATATAAATAGATGTCGATATTTTAACTTCAAAGTATACGTAAGTCAAACGTTTTATTGTTTTCTTCCGAAGAGGTTAATAGTTGGATTCTTGGAAATTCATGTGTTAAATTAAATAAATAAATAAATACAATGTTTGAGAGAGAGAAGTGGTAGGTGAAAGAAAAAATGTAATGTAGTTGAGTGAGCTACAAATTAAAAAAATAAAAATAAATAAGGGTCACATAAGTCAATATGGCTTGTTGGGACTCCAAAATAAAATAAAATTCAGTGATTGAGAAAAAATGTAGGCCTAGGTTGGAACCCTTGAGCTTGGGTTTACGTGCGAAGCGTGCAACTCACTTTATTTTAATTACTATGCACAATCTTCCATGCTCCTCTTTTCATTACATAATTAATACTCTTAATCACACTTATAAACCCCTAACTTTAAATACACTTATTTATATTCAACAGTTCGTACACTAATCTTTGAATAATCTTGGCGTTTTAAACAGGTTTTCGTTTCAATGCACAACGACAACTGGAATAATTTAAGATATAAATAGATTCTTCTTCAAACTTGTTTGACTTTCCTATTACAATACTTCAAGGATTGCCTCTAATAATTTAATTCAGAATCTTTCAAATTTTCAAATGAATTTTGTATTGGCCTGTTTGTTCGGGGGACTGTCTACTCGGTTTTTAAAGAAATCACTTATTTTGGTGTTTTAAGAATTTTGTATTAATAAAGAAGAGACGATACGTTAGCTATTTTGAGCATAACTTAGCGGATAAGACACTGAGATTCCACTCCTATGGTTATGGTTGATGGTTGAGCTCAAGAGACGATGGCAAAAAACTAATTTTATCAACTAGTTTACAGTAAGATGGTTCATCTTCAGAAAAATGTAGCTTTCGACAACCTATTCACTGTTCTATCAGAGGATTTGATGCCAGTAAAAGCAATGCAATAGTATGTAAACGATGATCGCTTGCACAGATTGTGATTTTGAAAAGAAGCCTCCCTTGCGTCATGTTGTCTGCAACAACTCCTTGATATCGTAACCTTGGAGCTATGTGCAAAGGAAGGGGAGAAGATAGTTAGCTCAGTACACTTTGTAGTCTGAATTTGAAGCATAAGATTTCACTTTAACTCTGAGATTGATGTCATACCGTAAGAAAGGTAAGAAGCAAAATGACGCCCGAGTTCCACAAAGCATGGATGGTGATGGGGGTCAGGAGGTTGTGAGTTTGAGCATAAGAAAATCCCAGAGCAGTTCCTACATGATTTTTTATCACATATTATGCGCTTGAAATAAAGCCGGCTTAGTTATTACTGACAACTTTAGATGGTATTTCAAGTCACATGTAGAAAGAGTTGAGTAAAACCAGAGTTTCAAGAGAACTTGCAGCTGATCAACGTTACCAAGCACAAAGAGCTGGGGAAACTCTCCAGGAGTGAAATGAGCAAGGGCAAACACAGCTGCGCTAATCAGAACGGCAACTGGCGTGGGAATCCTGGAGGAAGGAGAGAAAGTAAGGATGAACATACTAGTTCATTATATATAAATGGTAACCTTAAAAGTTAAATCCAAGAACGTACTAACACATTTAAAGAACAGAGGCAATGATGTTCACACAATCTTGTGCATTTGTACTATATAAAATAATCATATTCAGGCCAAAACAACTTAATTTAAAACATCATCTCTTTATCGATCGCTTTCAACAATCTTCGGTCGCTCATGTTCCTCATAGCTCGTAAATCAGATACGTAAAATCAATACAGAAGTCATATTAGGATCGACAGTGCAAACCCTCACCCAACATCATCCCATCCTCTTCATGAAACTATATTATAATGTCTTTCTCAATTTTGTATTTCCCAATTCTATGTTGCCAGCCGTTCTTTTGCAAGATATCTTAAAGCATGTCTCAGAAGCAGTATCACTGTACTTTTCTGTAGTTGAATGGGCTTATAAACTTTCTAAAATCTCTTTTTATCTGTAAACAGCACGAGAGACCATACCACTTAGTAAGAGACACCATAAAAAATCCACGAAACACGGTCTCTTCAAGAACTGGAGCAAGGACCCCTGTGATGCCCACCAGACAAGCAGTGCTGAAATGAAAACATATATGCTGGTTTCACTTGCTTTCTAAATTAACTGCAGGTCTTTGGTAAATTGGACGCCTAAGTGATGAGCCTTAGGAAGACTGAGGAATATATATATATAAAATCGAAGTAACCTTCCGCCAACAACCTGATGCTGGAAGATCCAACTAGTGGAAGCAAGCGTACTAGAGCATCTGTCTGAAACCAAGATAAAAAGAAAGCTTAAGAGTCTGTTCTGAAAAATCCCAATGAACCAGGACCGACAATAATAGTTTCAAAATAATGAAGCCAAGTTCATCCATACTTCACAAACATCGTTCTTTTTGTTTAATCACTTGATGGAAATTCATATTGAACCAACAACTAACTTTAAGTACTCTGTAACATAAAGCTATCAAGAAGACACAAACTGCAAACGGCTGTAGAGCTATGTACTCTCCAATTCCAGCTAAAAATGGACAATGGAAAATATGGAAAGGATCTTATCATTTCTAACCTCTCTTTGAGTACTCCCGCCATTAAATGAAGACAAGACGGCTCCTGTCACTGCAATAGAAGCCAGGGCACCCACTAGACCCACTCCTGCCCATAAGAGCCAACCCTTCTGCAGATTCAAGGGGTCCCTAATATCTGAATGAAAGAAAATCACCATGAATGTTAGATCCTGATCTAAATACCAAATATCTGACTAAATGACTACTTATAACATGGATACTTTTCCATATGTTAGGGAAAAAATGATTAAGGACTCAACAATAACTTGTAATTGAGAATACCATAGCGATAAATGTCATCAGGAAGTGGTTGGAAAGTGTTGGCAATGCTGTATATGATCCCAAGCACTGCCACAGTTGCAATGCTACCAAAACAACCAACGAATAGCTACTTCTCATTTGAATGATATCACACAATTTATGTGCAGGTTTGAATATGAAAAACTAGACGTTCGTTCTAATCAAGGCATACCCTTGGTTCAGGAGAAGTATTTCAGCTTTCTCATCTAAGCTTAGCTCTTCAATGCGAATACCAAGATAAGGAATGGCAGCAGATTCAACCAAGCCTGTCACGATAACACTGTCTGGGAAAACATTAACTTCTGCGCTAATTGCAAATAGTGGAAGCAATTACACTCGGACAAAGCAAACATAGTTACAAAACAAGCCACCTTAATCCACAAGCTAGTGAAGTTAATGAAACTGTTTGCCATCCCCATGGCACCTCCCACCGCCTCAAGATAGGCCATCCACCCCCATTTCCCTAAAATAATGATTCTCAGTCGTCTTAATAAACCCAACTCAAACCATTTTCTTTTTGCAACAAAACAAACAGCTGAGAATTTCTTAAACAAAATGCCTCAACATAGTTACAACATTAACTTTTCTTTCAGCAATCCAGCATATGTACTTCAGTTTCCTGCTATTTCGTACCTTTCACGAAATTCAACAGCAAGTATGACGAATATTAATGGCGAATTAGACGATGAGGAAAGTACCTTCTGCTGAAAATCGCCGCCGGATTCATCTTTAGCATTGAAGCAGCAAAGAGGACGAAACCGATTTGGGGACAGGGAATTCGAACGTCGCGGAGACAATCGCAGGGACAAATTACGGGAGCCAAAGAGTAGAATCTTAGAAGTTCGTTTGCCCGTGGATTTCAGAGAAGACGATGGCTTCCATGGATTAGAAAGACAATAGATTGAAGATTCAGGTATAGTTGTGAAGGTGGTCGAACAGGAAATCTTCATTTCTAATCAAATTCTTTACGAAATCCGTGAACTGGAAGCTTAGGTTCGAAATTTTCGCTCTTACCAAAGAGGATAATGCAACGAATTTGGAGTTAAAAAAAAGGCAGACACTTCAAGACGTCGAACACTCGCGACGAGAAAATGTGCAGTAAGTTGAAGTCCGGAATGCTAGTCGACGGTCGACACAGTGAACCGAACCAAACCCATTCAATTGGCACCCGGTTTCTTTTTCAAACCATTTAGCGTTGG